ACTGACTCCATTACAGAAGTTTGGAAATTTCCTTCAGTTTCTCTGGCTGGAGCTGTAGCCCAGTCACTTCTCATTCTCTTTATCAGTGATTATTGATATAGTATACCACATGATTTGTTTGTAATTAGAAAGCTGATAAGCTCTATTGATATGTTGTGAAAACAATGGAAAGTGAAAACCTGTAAAGTGAAGCCCATTGAAATCTCTTAAGTGCTATTTGGCCATTTCGCCTGATGAACCCTTCGACTGGCATTTCTGAAGAGATCTCATGACATAGGTAGCCATGCTTCTTAGTAGCAGATGAAGTGTAGAGAATAACCAGTAAAGGGTACAGAGAGGAGAGCTGTTTTCTTTTTCTGTGCCATTAATGTTACCAGTATTATTAGTGAGTGAAATGACTTTATGTTGCAGTATAATGAGCTATTATCTATATCTAAATCTATATCTATATATCTATTTATATATCTATAGATATAAATATAGATATATATATATAGATAGATTTCTCTTTAAAATTCACCAGTCCCTACCAGACCCCACGAGACATATACCCCATCAATGATGATTCCTTGTTTACAATTACACTTTGAGACCTATCAATTAGCCAGCGTTTAATCCATTTAATGTATGCCATGTTCGTTTTATATATATATTTTTAATCCAAATGTCATGTGGTACCAAGTTAAATGTCTTACAGAACACTAAGTCTATTGTATCAACAATATTATCTTCATGACCCTTACTGGTAGTCTCATAAAAAATATATTAAGTTAGTTCGACAGGATTCTTTTCCATAAACCCATGTTGGTTGGCATTAATTCTGTTACCTGCCTTCAATTCTGTATTAATCCTGTCTATATCAACTATTCCATTATCTTTCTTGCGATTGTTGTCAGACTGATAAGCCTATAATAACCCAGGGCTTCCTGTTCACCCGTTTTAAGTACTGGCACAACAATAGCTGTCTACCAGTCTTCTGCAACTTCCCCAGTGTTCAAGACTTATTGAAAATCAACATTAATGGTCCAGCCAGCTTCTCTGCCAACTGCTTTAAAATACACAACTTTCTCCAAAATGCTCTGAGTACTGAGTACTCTCAGATTACCTGGGTAATGAAACTTCCTCAAACTGCAGACACCTGCAGACACCTCTAGATAGATTTTAATTTTCTATATAGTTTCTAAAATGTACATTATGCTGCCACATCAAGTCCTAGCTTGATCTTGTCTATCTGCTATGAACTTCTAGGTATAAAGCAAATAATACAGAAGAAACTAATAAAAGGTGAAGTTACTTCACAAGTGAGTGAGATTTTTTGGTTAGCTCAGCTAGCAACTGTTGCTGTTACTCAATCTAACTCCTCTGTGAGCCACAGATGCAGCAACCGCTATTAGACATTTTTAATGACTTAGCCCTAAGTTCTGCAAAGGATTCTTGATCATCCCTGGACATAGATGACACTATTAAAAATACTAATAACTTGGGACCAAACTCTATGTGTGTGTGTGTGTATGTGTGTGTGTGTGTATTACGTGCGCACCTTGTTCATACAGTATTGATTAATATCCTTAGTTTATTTTTTTTAATTTTC